TATATATATATATATATATATATATATATAAGTAGCGAAGCGTATTCAATGGCATATCTGGGGGTGAAATACAGATGACCGCAAGGTGACAGGCCTATCTCAGACTCATATCTTAGGCAATCTCCTCATGGAAAAATGATGCCAAAAGGACGACAAACATGTTAATATTGCTGTGTCATATTCCCTTCTCATCGCCATTATTTGCTCCCAGCATCCTGAGTGATGTTCACCAATATGGTGTTCGATTTATGGACACACCAACCCTCAATTCGAATCTATCTCCATAAAATATCACTCGGTGTCACTAGCCAATTGTCGGTCATATTGAGAAGCTAAACTGAAGAACACGGAGTAATCAAACCACCCCTTGTTTGCACGCGACAACCAGCCTCCATTTTGCTACTTTGCTAATCGTTAACAATTTAGATCCAACAAAGTTCTTCAGCTGTAATGCAAAGGGACTCAAACAAATAACTGGTAGTCGTCTAATTGCACGACCCTAGAGATCAGTGGATGGTCGTCGGTCCGTAGTTGAGACACCTACCAAAATTAGCTTAAAAGGCTGCCCTGGTCACATCACTAACGGCCCTAAAGGTATATCTAAACAAGCTTTTGAATACTGAATTCATCGAAGCTAGTAATTGCCGTATTTCCTGCCGGTCGAATTCGACTGCGATTAGATGAAAATCTTTGAAGCTCAGTTACATACCGCGCTTTTCTGTCTACTTGGGTTTACTTGTAAAGTCCCTTGAAAAAGAAAATGAAGGGCTAAATGTAGATCACTCGATGGAGACAGTGGGTGGAATAGCTTAGCCCATTGTTAAGCCAGCCCGATCTTCAAACCCGAAAAACAAATACATCCTGTCGGAACCCTGCAGCATTGGCGCAGCGTTTATTTTGATTGTCGATCACCTTAGAAATAGGGAACCTCAACGAATGGCTCACATCCCCCCGTAATTTCTCCATCTGTACACACTTTTCTGTTCTATTTAAGGGGCGAAGCCTTTCCATTTTGACTAGAGCGTCTGAGCTTTGCTTTCAACCCCAAGAACTGTAATAATACAGTA